TCTAGTTAAAAGATTTGCAGGTAAACTGGCTACTCTTAGGAACAACCTAGATCAACATTCCCCCAAATTTTTGAAAACTAAGACCCCTTCTCTTCAAAATAAAGGGAATCAGACACACCCATGTGTGTTTGAGCAGTGAAATAGTTAAATGTTAACATTTAAATTATTTACTGAGTTAGCATCCAGTGAAATGAACGGGGCACTTCATACCTCAGAGCCATTGTTTCAGACTTCCTTCAGACTCAGGCAGACATTGCTTCATCAGATATACACTGTGTGTAACACACAGATCAAGTTTTTCTTTACAACCATAACAAGTAGAGAATTGGTTTCTTTAAAAGGGTAGGAGACTTGAAATCTGAGGCTCTAAAAAACAGATCTGTCAGTGCCATTCTGGCTAGTTATTTGTGCCTCCCCAGGGGAGATATACCCACACGTCGGGATATACTGCTTTTGACTGTTAGTAAGGAGGATAAAAAAAACAAAAAAAAGACAGCAGTGAGACAGATTCTCTTCTGAAGCCACGTTCCAAAAGGGGAGCATCAAACAAGACAGTTCTGGGTCCCAGATTCTGAGGGCTGGTCTGTACTGTCCCAACACCAGTGTAAATCCTGCAGCCCAGGGCTGCTCTATATTCCCTAAAAGAATAAATGCTAGTGGAGAAGCACTATAGAGAAACACTTGATTCCCCCAGTATCTATGCTAAGCAGGGGTGGCGAGTTATATGGGCCTGTGGTGCCTGGGCTCCAGCAAATTCACAGCCCGCGTGGCCTGGGCTCCACCAGTGTTCGGGGCCCGATCTCTCCCCCGGCCCCGCCTACCGCCCCCGCACACCTCCCCCAGAGCATCCCCCAACCCCGCCCTCCCCCAAACATCCCTGCCTGCCCTGGGCAGCAGGCGGCTGCCCCCTGCAGCTCCATGCTGTGCTTCCTCACCGGCTGGCTGCAGCCGGCTACAAGGGAGCGGTAATGAGGGCAGCCTGAGGCAGCTGCTGTGCCTGCAGAGGGAGGAGGGGAGGAGGCACATGGCAACACCCCCCCCAGGCAAGCAACTCCAAGTCAACTCTGAGGGGGAGGGGGGCTTATCCTGGCAGGACCTCCTGAGCAGCAGCCTGGGGGGGGTAGGGGGGAGCGCTTGCATGAGTGTCAAGGAGGGCCCCCCTCTCCCCCCCAAAGCTCACTGCTGCTGGCAGAGAGGGGGTTGGGGAGGGCGGGGGGAGTCCTCTCTGGCCCCCAGCCCCGGGGCAGCCTGCCTACTGCACCCCAAACACCTCATCCCTGGCCCAGCCCCATGCCCTGCACCCCCTCCTGTACCGCACCCTCTGTCCCAGCCTAGACCCCGTACCCAAACCCCCCCCCAGAACCTACACCCAGCACCCCAAACCTCTTCCCACATCCCAAACCCCTGTCCCAGCCCAAAGTTGCATCCAAACCCCACATCCCCTCCTACACTCCAACCCCCTGCCGCAGCCCAGAGCCTACACCCTGCACCCAAACTCCATCTCAGAGCCCGCACCCCTCCCACACCCAAACTTCCTCCCAGAGCCTTAGGCGGGAGGGCTTGTACCCATTCGGAGCACAACCAAAAATTATACAAACCTGCCGCCCCTGATGCCAGGGTTGGGAGGGGCCTTCTGATGACTTTACAGCAGCCAATAGATCAACCCACTCCATCCTCCTTGGCCAGGGTATTATCAATCAGCCAGCTATGGCCAGATTTCAGCCCCTTTGTACAGCCTGAGGTGCACAACATGGCCAGATAGACATTAGGCCAAATTTTCTACTCTTATCTGGTTTACACATTAAACAAGAGTGAAGTGTTTAGATTTGCATCCTCATTTTTACCAACCTTTGGGGCCCCAAACTTGCTACAGGAGCTAGATGTTAATCAATTAAATGTTCATTTTTTTATTAAGAAGGTGGTACAAGAACCAATGAAGTTGGGAACCACTGAACTAGACAATAGCTTTCTCTCTTTACAATAATATTCTCTTTCTCACCTGCACTGCTGTGTAGTATTGCTAGGTGTTGTTTAGAGTCTTCCAATCTCCATCCCAGACATAACTACATTTCAATAACGGATTAAATGAACCCTTTATATAAAGTCTGGTGAGCCCTTTGGGATTTTTAGAAGGAAGAGGTATATAATGTGGGAACACCACCACATAACGACAAATAAAGCCAACATATTGACAGCCTCCTGCCAATTCTACACATGCATCAAGTGGCAGAAGGCACATATCATAACATTGCAAAATAAATTCACACAAAGGCCATCTCATTAGCCCTCTCAAAGCAGAGCCATAAAACAGTTTTTCAGAAGCATCAGTCTAAAGTTACAATGGCTACTACTTTTCCTTCTTTCCCCAATAGATAGAATAGGAAACTAAAAGAAAAATTGTTCCAGGGATCCCAATGAGAATTGCTATTAACGTTCTGACTCATGTTTTCTGTATATTTCAAAATTATGTCTCTGCAAAAAGTGGTTTCAAAAGCCAACGTTTTCCCATCCCAAGTCCAGTGAGGGGTGAGTGGAGGTAAAGCAGAGATTTGATGGTGGTTAGATTGAGTTCTATTAGGGTAGAGGAGGCAACTAGTTTGGAGGGTCCTAGCTAGGAAACCTGTACAAGTGTCTCATTTTATTTTTAAATAAATTTACAGCATGTACTTCAACAGATAAAAGTTCTTTATAAGCAGGTAACTAAATAAATAGTTTAAGGATAACCATTCCCATTTCAAATGCAAATGTTATTGACAATATTGCATACCAAACAACAGCATCATTATAGAAGTCAATACTATCCCCTCCACTCCGAATACCCCCTATAAAGGTCTCTAGAGAAAGGCAATCTAAATGACTAGAGATATGGAAATACTTTAGTACAAAGTGATGAAGAAGATAGTTTAGGATTACTAGGTTTAAGAATGAGGAAAAAGGTGACGTAGTAATTGAATAATAGTACAGAGAAGCTTAATCAAGTGCTCTATTTACCCTCTCTCAAAACAGAAAAAGCAATGGACATCCACTGAAATGCAAATGCAAATATGAAGCAGATAAAAGGAATTCCCTCCCCATATGCCTGAAGACATTCCTAGACTGAGCTCATAGTTAGTCTGTGGATTTCAATATGAGACTCCATATCACAAAGTATTCTTAAGGCAAAGAGCATTTTCTACTAAAAGATCTTGAGTTACTTTACAAAGATTGTTATTATTATCCTAATATTACAGATGAGGGAAGTGTATGCACAGACAATGTATGTAATATATATTCATAGCATACATTTATGCTGCCTACACTACATACAGCGGCACACACACAAAGACATGCATGTGCACACACGCAGGGTGAAGCATCTGTTGTATATACAAGATACAGTTCTTCCCAACAACAAAACACAGATCCCTTTCAAATGGTTTGCTTTTAGGGCAGATGTGTCAAAAATGAACTATCTTGCTGCCCATATAAAGAATTACATTTAGTCTAAACCGTTATTGAATCCTGTCATTTTCTTCTCAATGGAATGGATGCCTGTAGAGTTCAAAATTTATATAACATGAATACAGCGGTGGCACAAAGCCACTGGTAATATGACGGGTGCAGCTAGCCATTTGAACAGCAGTTTGGAACTTGTTACACACATTAGTCCACACGCCAGCCTCTTTCACTGGTTTCTGATAATCCCTGTAAACATAAGAATGGCCATACTGGGTCAGACCAAAGGTCCATCTAGCGCAGTATCCTGTCTCCCAACAGTGGCCAATGCCAGGTGCCCCAGAGGGAGTGAACCTAATAGGTAATGATCAAGTGATCTCTCTCCTGCCAGCCATCTCCACCCTCTGACAAACAGAGGCTAGGGACACCTGGCTAATAGCCATTAATGGACTTAACCTCCATGAATTTATCCAGTTCTCTTTTAAACCCTGTTATAGTCCTAGCCTTGACAACCTCCTCAGGCAAGGAGTTCCATAAGTTGACTGTGCGCTGTGTGAAGAACAACCTTTTATTTGTTTTAAACCTGCTGCCCATTAATTTCATTTGGTGGCCCCTAGTTCTTATATTATGGGAACAAGTAAATAACTTTTCCTTATTTACGTTCTCCACATCACTCATGATTGTATATACCTCTATCATATCCCCCCCTTAGTCTCCTCTGTTCCAAGCTAAGAAGTCCTAGCCTCTTTAATCTCTCCTTATATGGGACCCATTCCAAACCCCTAATCATTTTAGTTGCCCTTCTCTGAACCTTTTGTCAGAGATGACTTTACACACTACATGAACATCAACACTGCAGCGCTAAAGAGTTGGTTAAGGTGGTTGATAGAGTTGATAAGAGACCTATGACAGTGTGTTAGGAAGCCTGATGAAGAACCAGTGAGACCAGCCATCAACATAAACTATCCTCAAAAGTAAATACAGAGAGAGAGAGAGCGCGCGCACATGGTGTGGCATTATACACCTGCATTAACCCGTGACAGGCACATGACACTAGTGCTGACACTTCAAATTAGCAGCTGGCGTTTCAGGGTCCCGTTTTAGATCTTACTAATGAAGTCTCGCCGCAAGTGACCCTGCGACACTACCGGTCTCACAGTCCCGTGATGTCTAACCTGCCAAGCGGCCGAGGCTGCTCCGCATCCCACTGCTGGAAGCTGCCCAAGCCCCGCGGCCAGCTGGCGCGCGCATCGCTGAAGGAGTGAGGGCAGCGGGCTGGTGCCGCCCCGCTCAGCCGGACACGCGGAGATAGCTGCGCCCACGCCAGGCTGGGGAATGCCCACACCTCTGTGCCGCGCACAGACGGCAATGCAAGAGGGGCCGCGACAGCAGCGCCCCTGCACAGCGGGCAGAGGGGAGCCGGCCCGGACCCACCAGAGCTTCGGGGGGCTTGGCACGTCCCTCCCCCTAGCCTGGTCCAGGTGCCCGCCCCGTACATCGCGCCCTGCCTCGCCCCACAGGCCGGCCCCGACCCAGCGCCGGGGGGCGGCACGCTGCCGGCCTACCTGAGCGTAGTAGCGTTTCCTGAGCCAGGCCCCCGGGAAGAGCCGCCTCGCCATGGCAATGACACATCCCCGCAGCGGGCTGCGCTCAGAGGCGGAGCGGAGGTAGCGCTTCCCCGCCCGGCCCCCTCCGCTCGCACCGCGGCGCCGGGAGAACGGGCTGGGGCGGGGGCCGCGGCCCGCAGGGCAGGAGAAGCAGGTAGCGGCTCCGTCCTCGCTGCCCAGCTGCCACTCAGCGCTGACGGCGGCAACGGCAGCAACTGGCAGGGCAGCGCGGAGTCTTAAAGGGCGGCCGGCCAGTGTCTCTGCCGACACAGACCGCCCGCGCCGCCTCCTCAGCTTAAAGGGGAAGTTCCCCGTCCCAGCGCTGAGGGGCCGGGATTGCTCCCCACCTCCGCCGCAACAGCCTAGGGCTGAGCACCCTCCCAGTACGTGGGGCAGCGACTGCAATGGTGGGTGGGACACCCCCTCAGTCACCAGCCCAGATCCACGCCCCCCTCCCAAAGACCCTGGTCCAATGCTGTGGCGCTAGGGTGCCCCTCTCCGTAGTTCTAGGCCTTT